ATGTTTTTATTTACTGATTTATTATTTATTTATTTTATTTGGGGAGGAGGCCGAGGAGCTTGCTGGGAGAGCGCCAAGGAGTTGCTAGGAGAGGGCCGGGGGCATGGGAGAGGGCAAGGGGAGATGCTGGGCAAGGGCAAGCGGGCATGCTGGGAGGGCCGGGGAAAATCTTGCATGAGGATGTTCACAGCATATGGAAACTACCCAAATGTCCCTCAACACCAGAATCAACAAAATGTGGTATAAGCCTAAAATGAAATACTATACAATTATAAAAATGAATGAACTACAGCTACACGCAAACATGTAAAAGAATCTTTAAACCCAATGTTGCCCAAAGGAAGTGAGATACAAGAGTACATGCTATATATATACAAAACCAGTTAAAACAAAACTATAGTGTTTAGAAATAGTTACATATTAAAATTAAAAAGGATAGCACTCACTTTGAAAAATTAAACTACAGGGTCGTCTAACAAGCCTGTCTCCAGGCCATTTCACTCTGGGGCTGGAATTTTGTTTGACTTCACTATTTACTACTGATTAGGTGCAGACTCTAAAGACTGAAGCTAACCTAAGGAATATAAGCTGCTAAATAATTATTTTTGTCTTATAGAAATGTAAAGCATTTCTGCCTGTAACAAGGATCTCTCTGGAGTTTATGGTTTTATGGTCCTGTAAGACACCAACCAGTTCTGTATCTAATTGTATCCAGCACTTTCTTTCACTGACTAGGCATCTCCTCTGCCTATCATATCCTCCAGTTGGTTCCTCATAAATAAGTTAAACATATGAAAGGTGCTCACTACATGAGAGATGTTTTTTAACACCTTGAAAACTCTATTTTACAGAGGTATAGTAATGTTCTGTTTCTTGACTTGCATGGTGAGTACACACAGAGGAATTCACTGTATGTTATATTTCAAAGAAAAAGATAAAGTTAAAAGACATAAAATTGGATACAGAAAATCAATACGTAAGAAAATATGTAGGTAAATAAAAAGCATAGCTTCTCTACCTGAAGGCAGTGGCTCCCCGAAAGGGGCCTCAGCAATTACAGTTTCCCATCCATGTAGCCATTAGAGTTCATGACCAAAGGCCAGGACTCTGAAAGGAAAAATTTCATTCCATAGCATGCAGCCCTGGTCTCTCAACCCTTTAGATACCTTTAATGAAGACACAATCACTCACCAGATGTATAACTTACTAGTGTCTTGCCTCAAATTTTCCCACACATTCTCCATACTAGACAATGACCCAACTTTTCAGCCAAACCTTACTTCATGTTCCTTAGCCACAATGTAGAAAGCAAATAGGTCTGCCTTTAAAGTTGTAATAATGGACAATATTTATCAAACGCCAAGTGCTTAGCATTTTCCTTGCAACCACCTTTTAAGGTAGGGCCTACGGTCCCTATTTTTACAGATGAGGAAACCGAGGCTCAGCAAGGCCTGCCCAGCCCTTGAATGGTAGAAGCTGGGTTGCTGCTCTCACTGGCTCTTCCCACCTCGCCTCTCAGCAGGACGATGACGGACCACACACATCCAAAGCATTTAAACACCACCTGGGGAGACCAGACACTTGTTTTTAAAATGCTCTCACTGGTAAACCCTCTAGTCTGCAGCATATTACTCTGGGGAGGCAAGTCATCTCTTTGCAAGATGGTCGGACCTCTGGAAACAGCTAGGAGTCATTGGGTGCTGACCTGACAACTGAGGGACAGGCTATATATAGAAACACTATTTTGGATTCAAAACAAAAGGTGTGGCTCTAAACACCATCTTTCCCAAAACTCTTCTGGATGTGGGACAAGTTAACAATGGCTCTAAGCACAGTTTAAGTTCCCCTGGAGTTGTGGGAGGCAGCCAGGCCTGGCACTCTCTGATTTAGGACTTGTTAAAGCTTTTTCAGACTCTTAGGTGATGGTTTTCAAACTTCAGTGAGCACCAAAGTCACCCAAGGAATGTGTTTAAAGTGCTGGTTCCTGGTCCCACTCACAGAGACATTGATTCAGGCAGCCCAGGGAGGAGGCCTGGGAGCCTGCATTTTCAATAAACCTTCCCCAGTGATTCTAGTACAGCTGGTGGGAGGCCCACATTTGACAGATTCTAATTGCGTTCACTAAAACCAAGTCTTCCAGCTTTGTGGTCTCAGTTCACAGGTCCCAGCTAAAGCTGCAAAAGCAGAACCAGGTCAGGTTCAACTCATCTCCACTGCCTCAGAGCAGAGGACAATCGCTACTGCAGCCCTGTGGTTAATGATAAGATGGTTATCTCCTTAGGTGTGACTGTCTAGGCCACAGTGAGTTCAGTTAGCAGGACTCCTCAGACTAACACCTCCAATAACTGGTGAGTGGGGGAGAGAAGAACAGGTGCCATAGTCAGGGTGTGGAGTATTCTGGAAGCCTTCCAGAAAGGGAGGCAGAAGTGTCTGGGCTTGCTAACCTACCCACCTACACACATATACCCTGGCTCAAACCCACGGGCTGGAAGCAATGAGTGAAGGCATTTGGGGATTAGGGTTAGAGACAGGAAGCAAGCATCAGTGATAAAAGACACGAGTCTTCACAATGAAAAGCCAAAGAGGCTGAGAGTCAAGAATCCAGCCTTGTGAGCCATTCGGATTATCCCCATTATTCCCCTTCCCTCCAGCTTTCCCCTGGTGAACTCTAAGATTCTAAGATTCAGACCCTCCTTCCCTCTGCTTTACCTTTGGCTGGGCCCTGACTTGTAAAGAAGCAACTGAGACAGTCTTTTTGGAGGGTGGGCGTGGGGTTAGAGCCCTGCGAGGCCCCACTCTCCTAGCCCAAGGGAAGCCTTCCATTTCCCCAAGCCTCGAATTTCAAACTGCAGGTCAACTACCTAGTTGTGAAACCCATTCAGTGAAGTCTGCAACCAGCATCTTTACAAAATAAAATAGAAAGTATTTGAATGCCCTCCAGTAGTAAGTATTTAGTTTTCTCTCTAAATAAATAAGCAGGCCTGTCTGGGGGTGGGGGTGAGCGGTGTCACGGTGTGAAATGTATTTCATATGATAGGTTGCAGTCAAAGTTTAAAAGCCACAGTCTTGGGCATGGCTGTTCCTCCAGGCTTGGGCTCCGGCTTCTGAAAGCCATCTGAGCCACTGCTGGAGTCCAGCCAACCTCTAAGAGTGTCCTGACAAGGGGGCCGGGTAGAGGGATGGGGAGCCAAGTAGTGGGATGGGGAGTCCAAGGGTGGATGCTGGTTGGGCCACCTGAAACCCAGACCCTCTGCAGCCTCTATCTCTAGTGTCCCTCAGCCCAGAGTGACACTGGGCAAAGGGCCAACCCCTTCCCGTTCCAGAATGTAGACAGCTGCTTGCCCAGTCCTTCATTTGTAGGATCTCCTGGGCGAGCTAACTGGGCACTTCCTGCAGCTCTGTGCCCCAACACCCCGTGCACAGGTCTGCAGCCCGTATTGGGTGCTGTGGTTCATGGCAGCGTCCCACCCCCACAAGCGCAAAGCCACACAGGCTGCAGGTCTATGGCTCAGCCAAGCAGGAAACTGAGGCCTGCTCCCTGGCCCCAGGTCCCAGGGGGCCTGGTGACCTACCGCCCACTCTCCAAACCCAGCCTTGCCACAGACAATATTGCTGACCATCCTGGGCTTAGGAGGGCCCAGGCCCGGGGGTGCAGGGCCAGCAGGCAACTCCGGCTGGGGTTTTTACACAGGAAGGAACAAGGCAAGGTGGGGGAGGAAGCTGAGGGAGGGCGGAAATGACTGCAATGTCAGCACCCAAAGGCAGACAAGAAGGAGGCTGGCCCCTCCCCATCCCTGCCACCCAGTTTTGAAGTTCTGACCTTTGGGCTCAGACAAAACAGCCAGTCTGGACCCTAACACCCACCATAGCCAGGAAAAAACCCACAAAACTCCAAAGAGAGTGGGGAATGATTGAGCACACAGGCCCTCCCTGCACCTCCCCTCAAGTACAGTCCTTTAATGGCAAAAAAGCTATGTGGGCAGACGGTGGCATAGGGAGAGTCTGGGGTACACAGAGAAAAGGTATCTGGGAACCCCAAACCCTTCCCCTCCCTCTGCTCAAGCAGCCGCCAGCCAGGCGGGCGGGGGGGGGGG